TGGTTTATTTGAACGCATTTCCCATGAACCTCCGCGCCACTAGTTCATACGCTTTACGCTTCACGGGTGACAAAGTTTCTCGGAAGGGGTGTATAACAGGGTCTAAAGCAGACAGGGAACATTAGACAAAACACCTGATATCCTGTGTCAAACTTTTTATTTTTAATCGRCTATTTTATTCTTGTATTACGCAGATCTTGATCTCAGAAGAATTCCTTCATAGGCTTGATAGAGACCTAGATGAACTAACCAGACCTCATGAGGTAAGTGTCTAAGATGACATAAAAAATGTGAGACTAGGTGCTAAAGACTGGGCCAAGCATTTGGGTAGACAGGAGAAGAGAAATATTTTGATATCGTAATCAATTATTTTCAATTTTCAAATCGAAAAAGAAAAACGAAGAAAAAAACCCATGACCCCAGGCATGTRCTACACATTGGCAAAAGACAGCGCCATAACAGCCGTGCCTTTTATGCAGCTATTTCAAAAAACGAGGAGACAAATGGTTATTGGTGATTGGCGATTGCATGACCAAAAGGCACAGTGGGCATGCATTTAAACACGAATAATCCAGGCGTTTAAATAGTTTCGTCGACTATGTGATTACTAAATATCTCAACAACAACATCTGTGTTATTGATAATACAAGTTATTCCAGCTATCCTTGCATCTTGGATTACCYTCCTACCACTCAGTTATCGTCTATTGCTTATTACCTCTCACCGTTCGCCCCTTTCATCTTTTTTGAAATAGCTGTATRTGCTTATCGAAGTGATAACGATGGCTTTAATAACAACGTTAATTTTTAGGAGGCAGCATGGTCGAGCGTTCACAGTGTCGGTGGTGCTGAGTTCGAGTCCCGCTGTGGCCACTAGCTGAGACTGTATTTGTCCTGGTTTCTGATTTGTTCAAATTCAGTTTCTCGACCATGCTTGTTAATAGCCAACTGGTTTGCCTCCTTGTCAGTTGGGATTCTTTTAAACCACTTTATGTTTCTTTGATTATTTCTTCATTTCAGTTTCATTTCAGTGTCCTCGATTAGTTGTGTAAACTAAATACATCGACACTTAAATAAAAGTTATTTTTTGAATTCTTTTTTCTTTTTTCTTTCTCCAGCTTGATCTACCCAAAGAATACAGATGGCCGGGTGACGGTCTTATCATTACTGTACTACCAGACGAAAATTAGCATCATCTTGTATCCTATCTAAAGGGATGTTTTGTCACGGTTGGCAAGTCATAGACAGATAAATGTAAAACTTTAGATTCAGTATTTTGGTTGTCGCTGTAGTGGTCAGTCATGACTGCTAATCAAAATTACCGGCTATATTCTTGCATGGCTTTTGGTAGATATCATCATTAGCTTACCATTATTAATGCATGTTCCAAATATATATAAGGCATATTTCGTTTTTATACTTAAATATTATCATCATATTTATATTTTATATTAATATTAGTAAATTGAAGTGCAATTTAGAAAAGAAACGATGCGAAAAGAAGAAAACTTTTGCGAGGGAGAATTTCATTGAATTTCTCTTACCCTATGATTCAAAGACCCACCTTTTCTCTTCGCTACTTCGGAGTCACTAAAAGTCTTGACATTTTTTTAAAAAAAGATCAAATATTCTGGGTTTCTACGGTGATAGTAATAAAAAATATATATTCTTAGATATTAATAGTAAGAATTATAAAGCTAAAAGAACCTTTTAAAAAATGTTTTCAAAATTATAATGAGAATAAAATTACTCTATAGGTTTTTGTTTGTGGGTTTTTTCTTCAAATATATATACAGTATATATATATATGTATATATTTTTGCTTCGTTACTGAATGAGTAAACTAAGTTCTTTATTTTACGAGTTGTTTTTATTTACATTGCAAATTTACATTTAACATATAGCAACATATTGGGAATATCATGGAGGCCCATTTTGAGTTTGTTATACTAAGTGTTTGTGYTTGTCAAAAATCGTGGTAAAATCGTTGAGGTCTTCCTCCATGTCCTCGCCGGTATTCCAGGATAAGTGCAGTTAGAAAATAGAAAAAAATTAAAATTTTGGAAATGGAAAAAAAATTCGAAAAAAGCTTTTCGTTGACTAAACTTGGGATTGGCTTCTATATTCAAACTCTGATTGGGTGAAGGAGGTCATGCGATTTGATTGGTTTACAGTCAAACGCAATATTTTTACTTCAGTTAAATAAAATTGTACTATACAGTGTGAAAAAGACTGCATTTTTACTTTGTACATAAGTATATTAAAAGAAAAAATAGGTGTAATGCTAAAAAAAAGCTTCGTAACACTTGTCTGAATTTAAAAAAAGTTCGGGCACCATCCATATTTAAGGAGTTAAGGGATCTTTGTTCATGTCAACTCTTCCTTCTAAAGCTTGTCTTTTCCACTTYGTTCGTCTGTTCTGGAACCAAACTTTAACTTGCGTTTCACTGAGTTTAAGATAAGAAGCTAGTTGTTTCCTTTCGGATCCTACGACATAGTGGTTCTTGTCAAACGAAGTCTCAAGGCAGAGAAGTTGAAATGGGGTAAATGCCGTTCGTACTCGTCTTGTTCGGCTTTGAGTCTTGTTGATAGGCTGTAGTCCTTGGGTATTTGGTGTGGAAGTTCGGTTAACTTGTGTTGTGGTTTGGACTCGACCTGCAATAAACAATTAAAGTAAACAATTTAAAAAAGATTACTTTTATATATCTTGTCCGATATGTGTCACCACAATTTGTCAAGCTATTTACATCATAAAATTTGTAGTTTGGTAAATATGACTTTGTTCGTATATCGGGAACAATTCCATAAAAATAATATAAAAAAGATAAGCTTATAAGCTTATGTTGAATTAACAATATTTTATTTCCGCATAAAGCCTCATGATTACGAATTAACACTTGTATTGTGACGGCCATATCGGCTATGACATCTTTGCGGGCACTATCATTGCTATACTAAAAAAATTATCATTCCGGGTTGCCAAACATAAAACGTTTATTATTTGTTTAAGACCATTTAATTCCTTTCTCAAAAGGATTCTAATGCATTAATGCAATTTGATAACGATTTATTTTAAAAACACAGCACATATCTTATAAGTTTTGATAATTTTTGATAATCAAATATAGATGATATATAAATGGTAAAGCATAAAGTTTAGTTTCGTATGTTATCGTTTTGATAATTTAACAACAAGGAAAGACAAAAAGAAAAGAAAAAGATAGAAAATATTAACATTCAAACCTTTAAAAGTTGAAGAAAAAAAATTTTTTTGCATGAAAAAAGAAAATTTTAAGAATATCCTCCAACAAATTGAAAAATTAKTTTTTCTAAAGATTTTTCCATTTGTTTAAAGTCGTCCATTGGTTACTATTTCACCTACTTTAATACAGCCATCGGTGTTTCATTGTACAATAACCATCTTAATTTTTTTCTCCAGATCTTAATCTTAAGTATTTATCTTATTTCTTTCGTAATCTGCTGCTTAACCTCTGTAAATCGTGACAAAACATTCATTAAAAAAAGCAAGAGCAAGAAAAAAATCAAAGTACAGTTTTTGAGTTTTCCTAACTACARGTTATGATCTAACTAGAAGGCCTTTCTTAGTTCATAGTTATTTGGCATTTCCTCAACTCTCTTATCTAAGAAGAGAATATTTTTATTCTTTAACCAATTGTAAAACTAATCACAATAGTAATGAGTATAACTCAGGGTTTTTTAAATTGATTTTTCCCGACTTCCTCAGTCTGAGAATTTTCAAGACGATTTAAATTTTAAGGTCATGACAAGTCAGAAATTACGGTTTAATTTATTTTCATTTTTTTAACACAAAAAAAATTTTTTTTTTTTTTTAAAGTGTGTGAAAAGTATTTTAAGCAATTAAAAAGACTAAAATAAACTTATATAAATAAATATATTTGTTACAAAAAAGTTTCTTTTCATTGGTAGAAAAATGTTTTTTTATCAAACTCAGTGTTACCAAAAGCCAGAAACAAAAAAACAAAAAAAAAAAAGAAATTGCGGATTTGTTAGAGTAGTTAACTGGCTGCAGTTTACGTACAAACGTTTTAATGTTTACTTATTTCTAATATTGTCTACACTGGTATTCTTCTTAGTACTTACCAGATTCTGGAATCTCTTTTGGTACCATRTCTGCCTTGTTTACAGTTCTTTCTTGGAAGCTACCAAAGGATGAAGTCCATCGTATTGGTTCTCTACTAGCTTGAGTGATAACACGAGTCTYGGGTTCTATTTTAGGCGCGTTGGTAGTGTAGGTTAGGAGTTTCCTCTCCTGAGGGAAGAAAGAGCATGAAGGTGGTGTGTAACTTGCTGCTACTGGCGGCAKCATCTCTGGGTATCTACAGATAGAGCCGTTACATTCAGTAGATGGGCAAGGACAACGGTAGTAGTAGTAGCTGTCTGACATTGTGGACAAGATTTCTTGGCGTTGTCCTCAGATTTCTTCGTATCTTTTTCTGTATTCACGTTTCTTCTTGGTAGTAGTAAACTCGTGTATCGTCCTAGCTTTTTCTGGCTTTGAGCTCTTACCGATGCTAGAACGGCTCGTACGACTTAATCTAATTGACAATCCACCCTTTTTTATAGTCGATCGCTCACCTTGCGTAGAACAAACRAATGTTCCTGGCTAAAAACGGATATTGTGCTATTACTAGAACTGTAATCAATTTCCAATTGTTTGATCAAGGGTGGCTCTAATAATCTATTAATATCCTCAAGAAATGTTTAGTGTTAGCATAAGGCAACCACAGTTTAAACATTCTATTTCTTTTGTAACTTTATTGTAACATTTTTTCAACGGTCCGAGAAGACCATTCGTACTCATATTTGAAGATAAAGTGTCCTATAGGCGCTTTCCCAGACTTTTTTTAAAGCTGTAGAGGAATTGTATTAGATATTTTTTTGCAAAGAATCGACCCTTAAATATTTTTTACTCAGTTTGAATTTTAGGACTTTTTAGTGAAAAATAAAGTTCATCTTTTGTTGCGTGCGGTTATTTTCTCTTAGAAAGTGTTTAACTAATTCGTGTAATGTGTAATATTCTGTATAAATTTCATGTGCAGCGTTTATTGTTTAGAATAAACTGTTTATGGCGGTTGTTGTATTTTTGTATTGGATGTTCAATATCACAAATAAATGCAAGCAATTTAATATAAAGCTTTCTTAAATGAAGCACGTTTAGAAGATGATTAGATATTTCATTCAAGTTAAAACTGTTTCCTATCATTAACTCCTGTTTGAGACGCAAAAAGCCATTGCTACCATTCCATCAAAAGAAACTTTATGGAACAATGACTTGACTTGGAATACTTTTTCGTTATTAAACCGCGTGTCTTTTGTCTTATGCAAATCCTTTATTTGTTTGCTTCATATATGATTCTTTTATGTCGGAAAAAACGAAGAAAGAAAAAAAAAAAAAAAGGCACGAAAACTGTAATAGTTATTGGTACAAGATTTTGTTTGTTAAGTTAGTAAATCAAATTCAAAAGTTATCTTGAAAAAAGCAGTTGTTACCGTTAAATAATTTAATTTTTGCTAGTAAATTTTTTTAAATCATATATAAAAGATAAAAAATTGGATTCGCCTTTGAAAAACACATCAGTTATCCATTATTCACTGTAATTCAATTTGCGATTTCACCGCAGCAGAACACGTTATAAAAATCTTGTCCTTCATCCTTTTTGGATCAAATTTTTTGAAATAGTTAGGAATGACTGAGACGGCTGTGCCTATAAAGCATGCCAAATGGAAGAGTCCTTTATAATAATAATGGGCTGGAAACAGCTAGTCACTAATTAAATGTCCCTAAATAGTTAGTGTCAACACAAGAAATACATTTGCTTATTTTTATCTCGGAAGATTGTTTCTAACTCATATTCGGTTGACGTAAAAGAACCATGAGTAAATAAAAACAAAATTAAAAAATCTTTCGCTGTTTATCTTGCTGTTCAAAGGAGTTACTTGAGACAAAGAAGAATTGGTCATCCTACCGTGAAAGAAATCGTCTTTCTCCCYATTACTATAATTTCCAATAGCGCGAAAATGATCAATATGGAGGCGTATTTTTTTGGTTTGGAGATAACGAAGATAAAATGGATTCTTAGCGTCGAGTCTTTTTCAATTTCAAGTCAACATGGAGTCGAGAAAAAAAATTAACAACAGATAAATTAATATTTTTCTTGTGAATGCCGGCTTTAGTTAAGATATCGGGGTGTGTTTCATTACATTCTCACTTGGCAAAGCTTTATTCTGAAAGTATATAATAAGATTTTGATAAGTACTTGTCAGAAAAGCACCGTGAGTGTACGAATAGTATGGCACGCGTGGATATGAAATACTGTTGTAACTCAAATCACAACTTGTTTGCCAAACTTAGATAAAGTAATAATTGCAAGTATCGGGCAAATAGCAGAAAAAGATAAAATATTCGGAAAGTCAAACCGCTGTTAAATGTTTACTGAGAGAAAACAAAAAGAAATCTTTCACCATATTTTCTTCTTTTTCTGTTTCGTTTTATTCATTTCTTGTATAAATTTATAATTTTTAGCCGAGCTTCCGAGATATTTTTTAAGGTTAACAAAAGCAAAGTACGGAAAAGAGCAGCTAAAGCAATTGAAAATTGAATTAGTGAAGAAGCAATTCAATAAAAGTAAGAATAAAAACGGTTTGTATTGGAGAATACTTATTAGAACTCCCCAACGCCAGAAGATTAAGACATGGACGTGTTAGAGAGGGAAGCAGATGTCCGAGAGAAGTGTTAAAAAGCTTCTTTTCTTTCAAACTTTTAATGCAGCTCTTTTCCCTATTCAAGACAACAAGCTGCAGGTTGAGTCATTGTTAGTTAAGTTCATAATTTGGACGAAAGAAACCAGACGTTTTGCTTTCAATCTTAATTTCGACTTTTCTCTAAATAACAAGCGGCCTAGGACAGCTTAATTATCGATTAAGATAAGTGTAGACTAAAAACGGTAAATATTTGCGAAATTAGCAGGGGGTACTCTGGTTTCAAATCATAAAAATCTTTATTCTCGACGTTATACCGGCGACTGGCTGTCAAAAGCAGATGTTATAAATTCGCATACGTGAAAACTATATCGAGGAAGTTGTTCAGTAATTTCATTTTTACAAGTTCAAAGAAAGCTTTGTTTAATTCAAACCGTCTACCAGTAGTAGTCTTTGTTCCATCCTAACTGCCCCAGACGGGCTTTATTTCCTTGCAAGTACTTGTTCAGTCCTGCTAGCTTCCTCTTCACTTCTTTAGCTATTGTCTGCGTAGTTTATCCTCTTAATTGTCGAGCAATATAAGATAACAATGATTTGTTATGCGAAGTTCACTACATTATATATGTTCTTTGATTCGGCTTTTAATGACATCACCGGCAGTAAAGTACGCCATCTCAATCAAATGAGGGCTTCTTTTGTGTGTGTGTGATAAATAAGAGTCGAAATAACTTTTTCACTTTCGAAAGATAAAAGTTTTAAACAAAAAAATAAAAAAGGAGAGACGTAAAAAAAATGAAAGTAAATTTAATTTGCTAAGGAATAAAATTATGAACACACGTCTTTGTTTAACCAATATCTTTAGCTTTTGATTGCCATATCTTTATTCATTCGACGACGCCATTAACTTAATGAATTTAAGTTAAATTATTTCCAAAATTTACTTGTCTGAAGGCTAAGAATTGCATTATCGGTAATACTCCTGATTGAACTAACGATAAACAAATATTATGTTAATTGAATAGTGAGATAACGTAAAATAATATTTTAAATCGTTTAAAAAATCATTTGTCCTAAATAATGATTATTGATGCAGATGATATATTTAGGTTATGGAACTTTAATGGGACCCTGTATTTGGTACGTATGTGCATAATGAATAAATGAAATACTAAATGCATTACTGAATGACATGGAAACCTTCTACTTGAGCTGTCTCGTAATGGTTCCCTCTCCAGAAATTTGCAAGGAAATTCGTGACGATCTCAATAGATCACGTAGTATCCTTTAAACTGACCTAAAAAGGAATGTTCTTTATTATAATGTAGGGGTTTATAAGAACAAAGAAACGTTATAAAATATCTAGAATGTGTATAACATTCTTGAATGAGTTCACCYGACTTTAAATTTGCTTTCGTGGTTTTCTATCCGATCCCCGTTTCTTGAATCCGCGTCAAAGAAAGCGCGGGAAAAATACAATCCAGATTGAGTGATACATCAATGTCAATAACGCCATCTAAATGTAAAGAAAATGGTCTTTTAACACTATTCTCATGTACATCTTAAAATACGGTTATATAACCATAATAAATATATGATTAAGCGACACGGCAATTTCTTTCGTATAGGTCTTACTAGCAACACGAYAAAAGTACCACAGTTTAAGATAACGTGTAACGGATAAATGAAATAAAGCAATTGTAAAACTTTGGGATTTTAACTGATGAAAGTGATTCAAGATATCGTAGAATTACCATCGTACATTTAGCGGCATTTTGAAATTTCGAGAATCGTGGGCTTTGTTTGATGGAAGAATTTGCGTGTTCAAAATGGGATTTTATCTTCGTCAATCGCCTGTTTGTTTGCAATTACCAAACATATGAAAAGACCTTTCTTGATTAAGAGAAATTGTGTTAACTTGTTGATATTATGAGTAGACGCGGCGTATTTAGAAGTATAGTTTAAGCGATTTTCGTGTTCCATCTTATTTGGGCTTGCATAAACATTTCTTGATTAAGAAGAATTGTGACTAATATTATCAGTAGGCGTGTCTAGAAGTTTAGTTTAAGCGATTCTCGAGTTCTCTTGTTATTTGGGCTTGCATAAATATTTCTTGATTAAGAAGAATTGTGACTAATATTATCAGTAGGCGTGTCTAGAAGTTTAGTTTAGCGATTCTCGAATTTTCTCGTAATTTGTGATTGGAATTTTTTATTGTCATAATGATCATGATCTTGTCTGCAATTACTTGAAAGTTATGATAAAATATTTCTTGATTTAGAAGGATTGTTAACTTAGTGACGTTATTAGTAGGCGTGTCTAGAATTTTAGTATGGAGTTCTCGTAATTTAAGCTGGCATTTTCAGGATTTTATATTTGTCTTAATCAAACTTGTTTGCAATTATGAAACTTAAAGCTAAAATCTTTCTTGATTAAGATTAACAAGTTATTATTAGCAGGCGTGTCTAGAAGTTTATTTTAAGCGAGGACGGAGTTCTCTCGTTGTACGAGCTTGTATTTTATGGATTTTATGTTTAAAATAATTAGTCTTTTCTGTAAATATATGTAACTTACTATATACAATATTTCTCCGATAAAGAAAGATTGAACGCTGACGACTTGTTAATGTTATAAGTAGGAGAATGTCTAGAAGTTAAGCCAGAATGGAGTTCTCTGCATGGTTATTTTAGCTTGTATTATATGAATTATATTTTTATAATAATCATAAACTTTTCTGCGATTTTTAAAACTTACTAAATAAAAAAATTTTTTGATTAAGAAGAATTGAGCATTGGCTTGTTAATCTTATTACTAAGCTGTTACATGTAGTAGGCGTATCTAAGAGTTTAGATTGCTGAAGCGAGGATGGATTTCTTTTGATATGTGAGCTTGAATTTTCAGAATTATATTTTTATAATCTACAATTATGTGAAAGTTACTAGTTAAAATATCTCTTGATTAAGAAGAATGTGACACTGACTTGTTAATATTATTAGTCTCGAGTTTTATTGTTATTGGGTCTCGTATTTTATGGTTTTAGGGATTTTATTTTATCCTAAGTACTTTGCCATGAATTGTGTGCAATAATTAAAAAAACTATTAATTATGAACAAAGAATTGTTAATTTATTATTATTATTATTATTAT